ACCATGCTACATCGATCTCGAGCAGTGGACCTAGGCTTGTAGGCCATCAAGGAGTCTAGGTCGGCGAGTGCCTCGAGCCATGAATACCTGCCCCCACTGACGCACTCGAGCCCTTCTGCCCAAGCCTTTCAGGCGAATCTCGACCTGTCACCCTCTCAAGGAAGAAACCTCAAGCTTCTCCCACTGTAAAGGTCTCAATGTGATGGTCCAACATATCAAGGACTTAGCCGACAATAAAGATCCCAAGTAGCCAACGCACCATCTGTATTCCATTGTGCCCGAGGCCGATGTGAACCGATTGCTATAATGTGTTGGAGCTTGCCCATGTATATCGATTTCCACATTATACCTTTCGATGAAAGTATCATAACCATGGCTAACTCGGTTATGTTCCGCAACTCATTTTCTTCTTTGCCCCATGGTTCTATAAGGCATCAATGAGATGGAGAAGCTCCAAGATGAGCACGTGAGGTCATCCAACTGCAAAAATGATGAGCTGCAGAAGACCATCGTTGCTTGGGAGTAGAACCTGAAGCTTGAGCTCAACAACGCTAGATTAAAGCTCCGAGCCCAAGCTGAGAAAAACGACCTGAAGATGACCGAGGTGGAGTGCAAGGTTCAAGCTGAGGCCAATAACTTGCACCAATAAGGCCACGCGAGTTTCTTGCCATCAGAGAAGAGGAGGTTGAAGAGCTCGAGACATAGTAAAGAAAAAAAAAAAAAGAAAAAGGAGAGCATGAGACGACCCAAGTAGTCTCTGGAAAAGGCCAAAAATGTAATATGATAAAGATCAAAGTGTTGGATTTTAGACGTACGAACCTAGCGTACGCGCAACGGAATTTAAAATTTTTTTTACCAACAACGAAGATCCGGCTATAGCTATTCGATGTGATCCTAGATCGCGTGAATGATCAACGAAAACTTACCGTTGTTCGTCATGTCCTCGACTATGGTATCCACGCAATCCAGTTTCCCGATGCACGATCCAACGCCAATGAATCCTCTCCGGTGAAGAAGCTAGGAATCTTCGAGCCAGAAAGCTAGAGAGTGTTTTGTGTTTTACGGCGTATCCCCTTTTCTCATCTAATGATCGTTAAAGACTACCATGAGATAATGACCTATTTATAATCAAGTTAAACCTAATTATATGGGCCTTAGGAAATCCTACAGCCCAATAGGTAATTGGACCTAATCCAATTTATAATTTTAATTAAGTATAAATCTAATTTAACTCAATTAAATATTTTCCATCAAATAGAAAATTATCTCATTATTAATTAAGCATAAATCCAATTTAACTTAATTAAATATTTTCCATCAAATAGAAAATAATCTCATTACTCATAAATAAATATTCCAATGTAATTGAATATTTAACACTCTCGATTCACTCTTAGTCGGAAAACTGATTGCTTATTGTGTGACCCTATAGGCCTTCATATATTGACATAAATCTAATTTATGATCCTTACGAAACTCCTAGACTGCGTCGAAGGACGAACTCAAAATATGAAGTACGTTTACATGGACAAGCAAACAAACCTTTAGTGTATAATCCAATAGTGATACGGTCCCTTCATTCACGACCCACTCGATTAAGCTTAGGATTTGAACGTGTGTCTATCCAAACAGCTTAATCATTTTATCTCATCTCACTGGTTGATTTTATCAATTATATTTGAACACCATTTCAAATATAATCACGTGCATTGGCCAATGACTTTATCAACCCAGTATAGAGAAAACGAGTGTTCTCTCGAAACTATATTCGAGGAATGAATCCTGTCTTGGCTCAACTACCAATCCCATGTATATCGTGATCTACCCAACACGAGCCCGTGTCTACCCATAAGGGCGTAAGCATTGGACTAGGTCTAAGTAAATCACTCTATACATGAATTGCGTATTGACCTCAAGTCAAAGGACTATTACACCATTCCACACACCGACACTCCCATAGACACATAAACAAATGGTTTATCGGTAGGGTATGCCAATACTCTCCAAAGTATCCATGTGTCCATCACGAATAACAATTATTCATAGCAGTGAGACATACTATATTCTCTAAGAATATGATGCAGACCACATGTCAATCTATCGCGTATCATTAATATCCCTTTCTTAATGATCATCGATTGAGGCGATTTTAGAGTTATACTTTATCAATTAACATCTCACTCTGCTAATGACAGTATCAACTCAAGGGAGCAATTAATTAATAAATTGCAAACAATCAAACAATTATTTAATTAATTACAATACCATAATTATAATCCAATATAATTATTAATATGATCATGTATATATGTCCTTAAAATGATTGTCTCTAGGACACATATACCAACACAAAGCTTAAGAGAAAAAGAAATATATATAGAGAGAGACCTAGGACGTATCCATCAACCTTATGCAAAGAGGTGTGAGAAATCACCTAATTCCCAAAGGAGAAAATTTCATTACAAGCCTCCACTTTTGTTATTGTGTCACAATAAGGTTTGAATTTTCAATTTATTCATTTGATGGTTTCAATTTTAAGTTATTTTCAATATAAGACCTACTTTTACATTATACTTTTCAATTTGAGATTCCTAACACTTTGTATTTTGATGTAATTATGTAAACGCCAATACTCTTTTTTTTTAGTTTACTATTTAAATACTTATAATGAAAAATATTAAATATATTTACTATTTTGTTTTCATTTTTTTCTTTTTATTTTTAATATCTTTAGTAAAATTTCCTAATAAGATATTTATTTCATATACCTCTATGAAAAAGCTTAATGAAATTTATTTTAAAAGTTGAAAAATAAATTTGAACTTAATTTTAATCAAAATATATGATAACATTAAAATATAAACTATTTTAAAAATATTTTTATTTTTATAAAATAAACTTATAGAAAATATTATTTGTGTATAAAATTTATATTGAAAAAGTAAAAAAAAATATCAAATTAATGCCTAAATATATTTGTAAAACTAGCTTCATAAAAAAATTAATCCAAATTAGTTACATTTGTGCAAAATAACTTTAACTTAAATGAATTAATTTTCTTATTAAAGTAATTTTACTAAAAAAGTTTCTAATTATTTAAAAATAAATTAAAAAAGTATTATGGTTTACACAATTATATCAAAATGCAAAGTGATTTGGAGTCTGAAATTGAAAATTAGAATGTAAAAGTAGGCTTTATAGTAAGAATAACTTAAAATTGAAACCCTCAAATGAAAAATTTAAAAATTCAGGTCTTATTGTAACTCAATAACAAAAAGTTAAGTCCTACAATAGAATTTCCCCTTCTAAAAGACTAGTCTGGATATGCAAGTAGAGATGAAAACTAGAGAAAATATGATTCTAAAAGAGTGGAAGAGTAAAGAGTGTAGGTGAAGAAAGGGATGAAAGACGACCTACAAGGGTATTTATAAGTCATAGAACGAAAGAAAAACCCGAACGTTAGACGACACTCACATTAAGGGCTAATATTTGCGCACAGAATACGATAAGGCATGCAGACGTGGACATAGGACGTACCGAAGTATGGGGATCTGAGCAAGTAAGGCGGCACTTTTTGGCATCTCATATTCTCCCAAGTTATGTGACATTACATTGAACGAAAAAGAAGATTAGATACAAAGCTTTAGTGAAAGAATCCATTACAATACAAGTCCAGTCAACTTGTCCTGAAATAAGGGGCAAGATTATGTAGTACAACAGATCGACTTGAGCAGGCAACTCTGGTAGGCTAGTCCCGAAGAGCTTCAATCCGAAGTAAGCAACCCAGTCACGGAGCTCGCACTCGAGCTCGAGGTGTTGTATGACCTGTAGAAGATGACCTGAAGGTACAGACCTCCAGAACCTCGACAATATAGCAGACCTCAAGGTATCGAGGTCGTAAGATTTGAGGTCAGGTGAGACCTCAAAATGAGGTTAGGTCTAACCTCGTATAAGCCACAACAAGTAGGTTAGGAGGTCGTGGTTACGACCTAGAGACCTAAGGGTTGTATAATAAAGGAGAAATGATCTTATTAAAAAGGAAAATATCACTTGCTCAAGAAGACTTGCCTAGATAGAGACGTGGTAAGTTAGAAAATGTGATCTGGTTAGATATCTTTCCTAACAAGGACTTTCTAGGGCAGCAAGATATTTGCCCTATATAAGGGTGTCGGGTTCTTCAATATATCGCACTCTACGCCTTAAAATTACATATTCTCGTATTTATTTGTTGAGCAAGTTCTGACTTAAGCGTCGAAAGTTTCCCGCGCAGGTTATAGGAGCTCAAAGACGAAGAAAGTTCACGGCGTAGTTGTAAGACTCTGAAGATTGACATTAAAATATTCTTTATACTTAACAAAACATTTGTAAATAATTTTATAAAATATTATCCAGTATTGAAGTGCGATGTCAATTTTAATCTGAACCTTATAATATATGTGAACTTCATTCAAATTAAAAACGAATAATTTATGTATATTAAAATTATTAACAGGTACGTTGTACATATTGAAATTTTGTCACATCTTTGTTACAAATATAGACTTTAGCAAAAATGTACACTAAATTAATATAACCAAAAAAAAAAAAAGAACAAAAAAAATAAAAGGAAAAGAAAATAGTAGGCGCCACACTATGACAATTACTTAATCGTGATGACTGCAAAATTTCTCCACTTCAGGGCGTGTAAATAGTGCTCTTACTAATTTTTTTTCCGAACGCCAACTAACAGTGGATTTCCAAGTGTAAATTAAATAAGAGCAGCTCATTAAGTGTTGAGTGAATATTGGTTTACTCAAATCTCATTAAGTGTTAAATGAATGAGGTTTAATAAAGGTTACAACATTTGTAATCCGTTATACTTTTTTGTTCAAGTAACATCAGCTTCATTATGTTAGTTTTATGTTCCTCTCCTTACCATCTCACCAAAATCTTGATATCTGGCTATACTCCCACCTTGCAGATTATCTCCTTAATTCAGATGAATGAAAAAACTTGCAGAGATGAAAAGTAACCATTTTCCGGGCTTATTGCCGGTTTTGGGCCTGGAAATAAACTGTTCAAGTGATGGAAATACGAATACTCATCCGGGCCGGATTTCAGTTTTACCTGCAGGATGGTCGAAAACGAGTAGGAGAACAAGAACAAGGCCCGGAAAGGCCTGCACATCTTCTGTTCAGGCCCGGATGTGCAGTCCCAATCCTAATCAGGGCATGTCGGGCTCTGACAACGAAGTTCACAATACAGAGAATCTGCCTCCTAAGAAAAGGAAGATAGAATCTGGTGGAAACTCAAGCCCAAGACTCCCTTTCCCAAGCGGGCCCTTGTTGATGAATCAAGGCCCAGAAAGTTTGAAAAGGGTGAAGAACTTGGATGGTATTGATAATGTTATTGCTCACAAGAATCCCATCAGGGACCGAAAGCCCCACACTTGTGATATATGTACCCGGGCTTTTAGGAGCTACCAGGCTTTGGGAGGACACAAGTCCCACCACAACAGTAAGGTCCATCACGACATTATGCCGGCTCGTGAAGCCTCGACTCGCGTTGTTGGCTCGTCACTTGTGGACTATCAATGGCCCGAAGCCCGGCCTTGTGGCGTGGAGCATAAGTGCATGTTATGTGACCGTGTGTTTTCGAAAGGGCAGGCCCTTGGCGGGCACAAGCGGCATTGTAGACGGGCCGTGAATGGAAGAGGGGACGAGATGGGAAATGGGCTGGGCCCGGGCTTTGATTTCGACCTTAACGAGCTCCCACCTGAATGGGTCCACGACCAGAAGGGGAATGGCGACGCATGCTGAGTGGACTACGCTTGTAAACAGATTTTTGTTTGATTAGGTCTTCTAAAGCTTTCAAATTGAGAGGGGATTGAAACATGGCCGAGTTAGAATAATGTAGTTTGATGGTCATTTGAGTTTGGATCGTTCAAGACACCAGAGAAAAGTATGATCATTTGCTTGAGTTTGTTAGATTATATATTTCCATGTAGAGAGATTGTTAACAAAAGGAGGATCAAATTTGAATCTAATTTTATGTACCACTACGTGTTTGTCATTTTCACAAATTGTGATCCCATAGTCCCATTATTTTCTTGCACGTCTATAGGCTGGCATAGTGTTGCGGACCTAACTTTGAGTTTGGTCTTGACGCATTACCTTTAGAGCATCTCTTGTAGGAGGTTTTGGAACAGGTTTATATGTTTAAATCTGACAAGTTTACCATTAGAATGATGAGCTTTGAACAGGGGCAAATCTAAAAAATTTAATTGGGGGGACATACTTCATTAAAAAGATAAAGTTTCATTTGTAGAATAGAACAAAAAAAAAAAAAGTTCAATGAGATACATACCGTTCAAACTTTGTGACTATTAGAATTGTGTTCGACGTTCTCTCAGGTCACGAAATCCATCGATGATTGACTCGGTACTAATAGATCTTGCAATTTCCTTTTCAACAAGGATAGTCAAAGAATTTACAAGAAAGTCATCTTCCATTTTGCTTCGAAGTTTGGATTTTACAATAGCCATAGCCGAAAATGCACGCTCTGTGGTCGCCGTAGAGACAGGAAGTGTAAGAATCAACATTATTAATCTATCAATCAACGGATATATCAAGGATTTTCTACTTGTCGCCATCCATTGGCACAAATCAGAGATAGTGCACATATTTTGAAATTCTGAATGCTTGAGAACATCAATCTCATAATGTCGCAATTGAACTTGCAGTAAATCTCTTTCATAATCCGTGAAGTCTCTGGGATAAAATTTATTGACAAGAAGGCAAGCGTTTTCTATATCAAAAGACAATCAAGAATTGCGAGGATCAAACATAGAGCTAAGAACAACTAGCTTCACGGCATGCTCACTAAATCTGTTGTTTAGCTCTTGCAGTTGACAATCTATCGTAACCTTAAATATATTAATACGGTAATGATCACCGACTGTGATATAGCCCTACTGTCGTAGCCCGATTCAGGCATTAGTTACCCGACTCGCGTTGCATATCATTAAAGCGATACTTCCAAAGTCGACGTGGCCTATCCATCATTTATGGATCACCACTGGCCTAAGGACGATCAAAAGACGACTTCAGGAAGTCGTCTTTGTTTAAAGTCGACTTACGCGTTAGAAGGCGAATGAACATTCTAAGAACCTCAGATATAATCGCAGGACCATAAGTCGACTCGACAAGGCTTCGAGCCGACTTAGAGTATCTCTGGCGACTCGCATTTACCTAAAATGACGAAGCAGGGCTCCCAGAACTAGGGAATCTATACGAGATAAGAAGGAATTTGGGTGTTGATTCAGAGAGTGTGTAGAATGTGAAGCGACCAGGGCATTTTGGACACTTCGGGTAAGTCGGCTAGGGCATTTCAGGTATTTCCAATGAGCATTTCTACCCTTATATAAAGGAGTAGAGGTGACTCCAAACCCTAACTATTATTCTCCTCATTCAATATTCAGCTGTTGCTCCCCCTGAGCAGAGCTCCTTCTCTCTTCATTCACTGACTAGAGCGTCGGAGGCTCTTCACCGGAAAACACTTCCGGTGTTGAGTTCTTGCAGGTGTTCACTGCGGTCCACGGGCGACTTGGAGACGATTCGAACAGACCGGAGCTCATTTTCACCGGTTCACTCCAGATCTAGGAGGAGACCCATCAAATTGGCGCCGTCTGTGGGGAGTTCTTGAAGGAAGTAAGAGCTTCACACCTAGTTCCGATCTGTTTGACATGGCGGAGAAAGAAGGAATATCGAGGAATCTAAACGAGGACTTCAGGGTAGCTTGGACGGACAAGCGGCCGCCGTTAATTCCCGGCCCTAGACCACCGCTTCAGGTTCTCGGTTTTCCACCCTTTGGGGGGCACGCGCCATCGGGGGTGCGTGTTGAGGAAGAAACACCCATCACACCTCCCG